TGTGAGGGATTCTTAAGCACTTGTCCTTGGTGTTCAGGAATTGCAGCTCTTTCTGAACTCTTTCCCATCATGTTTAAACCCCTGAGTGTTTTCTTCTGTCCTGTTGACTAACATCTGGGAATACTGTTAAAGATTATAATTACCCCACCTATTAGTGTGCAGCCTGCTCTTGTGGAGACTGCACAAACACACGTACACACACACACACATGCATACACACATGCACATACATACACACATGTGCACACACCCATGCATGTACACACATACAACATGCACACACACAAGTACACATGTGCACATAGGCATGCACACACACATGCATACCCATACACATGTGTGCATACATACATGCACATGCAGGCATGCACATATGCACACACACAGACACACATATGTGCACACACAAAGGCATGCACATATACAGACATGCATGTACACACATGCACACCCATATATACATGTGCACACACACATGCATGTACACACGCATACACAACGTGCATGCATCTGTGCACACACACACACACACACACACACACACACACTTAGACTCCAGAGTGGTCATTTCTCTATGACATCATCTCAGATGATTATTGACTCCGAGAAGAGTTTCTGATAATCTGGTATGATATATGACTTTGGTTTTCTTTGAACTGAATGCTTATAACTTTGGGCTGGCTTTGTGGAATAAACTGAAATTTGTTGCTTGTCACCTTGTGTGCTGGCTTCTGAGGGGGAGTCATTAGCATACATCAGTGTGTGAATGATTGCCTTGAAGACTTTAGTAGAGGCTTTATGGCTTCCTGGAGTGGAAAAGTTATAGCTATATTTTGTCGTGTGATACCTACACACTGGAAGAAATAATGCATGGCCTTCTCCACTGCACGAGTCTGTCTGGTGGGTAAACAGGATAAAATATTTGAAAATGCTCCGAATTCTCCTTTAGAAATAAGCTGTGTAGTGTTAGTTCCATGCGGTGCTTGATCCACTGGTGGTCAGGAAGATCTCCTGCTTTGCCGGTATAGTTTAATTTCTTGAGACCAATTCTATTTTCTTTTGAGTTTTCCTTTTATATTTTTTTGTTTTAGTATTAATTGTATATATTAGTGGATTTCACTAAAACCTTAACACACAGGCACACAGCATACACAACACACACACACACACACACACACACACACACACACACACACACACACACACCGGGCTTTGACCATGGTCAAACCCTCAATTATCCTTTCTTAGACCCCTCTCTCCAGCACTCCCCTCTTTCCCTTCTCTACTGGTACCTTTCTGCTTTCCACTCATGTCTGCCCTGACCCCAATACCGCAGATGAAAGGCGATACACGTTTTACTATAGCTTACTGTGTTTAACAGGATGATCTTCTGCTACACACTATTATTCTTAAATTGACACACTATTCTTCTTCTTCATGATTGATTAAAACCCAATTGTGCATACTCCACATTTTATTTGTCTGTACATGCATCTCTGTAGTAAGCTTATTTCTTTTCTTTAGGGAGTATACCAGACATATTATGGCTGTATCATCTAAAAATTCCATTTTAATTATTTGAGGAACTTCCACATTGAGTTCTGTTTTGACTAATTTACCTTCCTACCAGTAGTGCGTTGTCCTCATCCGATCTGGCATTTTTAGTTTTACTTTTTAGTTTTTGTTTTCTTCATATAGTCATTCTGACTGGAATGAGATGGAATCTCTATGTAATTTTGATTTTCATTTATCTTATGACTCAAGATTCTAGACCATTTTTTATTCATGTATCTATTGGCCCACTGCCCTTCCTTTGAAATGCCTTTTCAGATAATTTGTTCATTTATTGAGTTTATTATTATTATTATTTTGATGCTTATTTTACTTCTGTATACATTCTGGATATTAAATAAATAACTGGTGGATGAGCATTTAGCAAAGATTTCTCTGGCATTCTGTAGACTGTCACTTAACTCTGTTGTTTCTTAGCCTGCCCAGAACCTCTTAAGTTGTCCTTTGGTTGTTGTTAGTTTCTTAACTGTTAATGCGTAGTGTTCAGAAAATCCCAGCCTGTGCTGATATTTGGAGGTGGTTTGTAGTTTCTAACCTTACGGTAAGGTCTAGAAATGATTTGTGCGGGGGGGGGGGTCTGGTGGCATCTTGTGCAAGTGGGTGTGCGGTTTTCCAAGCACCATTTGCTAAAGAGGCTTTTATCCTATGTTTGTTTTTGGTATTTTTGTCAAGAGTCAGATAGATGAGGCCAAATTTTATTGCCCAGTGTTTAGATAGCTACTTTTCTCACATTGCTCGTGAGCCAGAATCAAGGGCCCAATCCAAATAAGACATCGTTCTGGCCTGAGAAAATTTCACGAACTTAAATCAGAGACTGGAAAGAGACGCGTGGTTCTCTGGAAAAAGGCTTCTTAAACTTTTTGACTTGCAATCTCCCTTTGCCTTAGAAATTGTATCTCCAAGTAAGGAGATACATAAAATAGGCATTCATATAAAACATTTGCTGATAAATCAAAAAGAAGGCTATTTTAAAACACTTCTTTGTTATACATTAACTTCACTATTAAAGATTAAGGCAAATTTGCACAATAATGACATAGATGTGCTTGTTTACATTTTGTAGAGAATTAAATCCTGGCTGGATATTTTGAAACTTCAACACATAGACACATAGAGTATCCTCTACTTTTTTTCAGAGTTGATCGATATTTTTGCACTCATCAGTGCTGAGGATGTTGTATCACATAAACCATGAAGCGAATGTTTAGGGCCATTCTAGAAATTGTTGGAAATCTTTTCTACTCCCAAGCTAAAATTTACTTAACGTATATAAGAAATGTGATGCTCAAGCCACAACTCAAACAATAATTTTAAAAATCAAATAATTCTTATACAAATACAATCTAAAGTAATTCATGGCTTTCACCCTGAAGTTCCTGCTTTTGTAATTAAAGGAAGAAAGTTTGTGTGTGTAGTAAAAGAACTACAGTTCATAGCACACAATTGTCTTGAGTCTGGCCCTTGAGGCAGCACCTGCTGGCATGGTCTGTCATGGAGACACGTGAAACTCAAGGCCCATGCGTGTGTGTACGAGGACGGAGCCGCAGTGGAGGTGCGCGGTGGAGGTGCGCGGTGGAGGTGCGCAGTGGAGGTGCGCGGTGCAGCATTGCAACATGGACATTGATTTTGAAGTAGTTTTAGGTTGTCACACTGAAACTTTTCACTCTTGCCATTTTATTTATTTATTTATTTATTTGTGGACATTAGTAAGGAAAGGAAGTAGAGTAGGAATTGCAAGGCACTGCTTTGAATGAGTTAAGGAAGTTTCAGAAGGAAGCTGGAGAGGCGACTCAGTGGTTAAGAGCACTTGCTGCTCTACCAGAAGATGTGGTGGTTTGATTTCCGGCACCCCAGGGGTGGCTGCCAACCCTCTGTATCTCCACTTCCTAGAAACCTGACACCTTCTTCTGGAATCCACGGGCAATGGATGCACATAACACTCAGGCATAGCATACATGAAAACAAAACACACAAATAAAATAAAATAAATATTCAAAAAAGAAAGCTTTACAAATAGTGTGAGGATTTGCCAAACCTCTGATACATCCTGTGCAATCCTGCATCTCTTGAGGGCTTATAAAAGTCTCCATTAAAGTAAAAGCTACATGATCTTTTCCTGGCAAACATCTTTGGTTGTTTTAATTTAACCAGTTCTCTGTAAGATGCTGCCTATTAAAATTTGCTTCTACTGAAAGAATCTCCTGTGTTCGTATTGAGTCAGGAGTGAAATACATGATTTATTGTGTTCCCTTTTTAAAGAGGTTTTAAACTTTTGATAGAGACTAGTGGCTCTTATGACCAAACAGACAATTATACAAAAAATGTGCATGTGTGTTATGAAATCTGTACAATAACATCTGCACTTTTCTGATTTAAATTTACATTTTTGCCTTTCTATAAGATATTCAGCCTATGATTTTATGAATGAATTGAAGCAACTTATGATTCTGTAAATAAAACAATTATTTCTGAAGTCTCAAAATGTAATACATCATAGATGACTATTGAACTGACATTTTCAAAAGAAAATAAATATATGAGTCAATATTAGGAAAGTTGGAAATATGAAACCATTTGGTTTATTTGAATGACGAGATTAAACTAGTTATTCTATTTTAAAAACAATAGGTAGTTTTGAGAAACAAATCTTCAGGTGAGTCTCCAATCTCCCCATCATTTATTAAAGACAAGATGACAGCAGAAATCCCATGGAAGAACGGACGGCCTCTGCTGGCTGGCCATTTCCTGTCTCAATAATATTTACCTTAGCACTGTTGACAACTTCATTACTTTTCAGTTTTAAGACATAGTCCTTAATAGTAATGTTTGGAATTTCTTTTAATGTACTTATGTTCCCTTTCTTTTTCTTTTTCTATGTGCCATTCACAAATAAGATTTCATTTCATTTTAAGTTCTTTCTCTCTCTCTCTCTCTCTCTCTCTCTCTCTCTCTCTCTCTCTCTCTCTCTCTCTCTCTCTCTCCAGTTTTTCGAGACAGGGTTTCTCTGTATTGCTTTGGAGGCTGTCCTGGAACTCACTCTGTATACCAGGAATGGCCTCGAACTCACAGATATTGGCCTACCTCTGCCTCCTGAATGCTGGGATTAAAGGTGTGCGCCACCAAAGCCCGGTTCTTAAGTTCTCTTTTTAATAAGGAAGCCAATGTTGTTGTGAAAAGAATGAACCCATCACCATTCTAATGGGCTCACTGCTTGCAACAGAGCTGAGAAGGAATCAGTTACTTCAGGTCTCTCTCTAGACAGTGCTGCTGCTTCTTCATCTCTGACGAGATGACAAGATGTGACTTTAACACAGAAAAGTGTGCCCATAAAAATGATTTGCTTTCCTGTTTGTGTCATTAAGGCATATGATCAGTGTGTGCTCTTCTTAGATAAATATTGTTTTAATCCCCCTCCATATTTCTAACAGACAGGACGCTTTATGATTGGAGGAGCATCGAAATGACAAGGTCTTCCCATTGGCCTCAGGAGTCTGCTGAGAGCTTTTCTGGGTCATCAGTGGTATTTAAGGATTACTATTTGGTAAGTATTTTTAAACACGGACATAGAATTGACTTGCTGTTTGTTTCTCAGCAAAATATTAGGGCAATTTTGATGAAAAACATGAAATCTTACTGTGGACCTATTTCATTCCTAAATTCTCCACGGAAATCCATCCTTTTAGCCAGGAGTGGAGGTTCATGCCTGCCATCCTGTCTCCTGTGAGGCTAAAACAGGAGAATGGCCAGGTGCTTGAGTCCAGGCTAGGCACCAGGTTTTAGATGCTGTCTCACAATCAAAACCAACCCCTCCCCCCACAATTTTTCCCCCAGAAGCAAAGCTTGAACACTTTTGTCATGTTTCGTGTAAAATTCACTAATCACCCGGACCCACAACATATGCACTATATTTTATTTGAAAAGCACTTAGTTAAAGGGTCATTGAACAGCTACTTTTTTTTAGTTGTATAAAGAAGTAGAGATGGAGGGTGAAGACGTCTATGTGAAGTATGATAATGGAAAGACTGAGAAAAGTCAAGTGCAATTTCATGACTACCCATTTACGGCTTTTAGAGAGAAGACTCTAATTCAGAGCATGTGAATCTCTGATCCAACAGTCAAGGGCTTTACTTCGGCTTCTTCTGTTAGAGCAAGTTCTCAGATGCTGCTGTGTGAATACCACAGGAAACTCATGTTTAAACATCTTTGTCACCAGTTCTTTAAAAGAGATCACAGAGCTACAACCCCATGTCTCAGAGAGTCAGTCTATATATCTTATGCCTCCTACAAGATTACCCTGTGTATGAATATGCATGGCCCATCTTTTATCCTTTGTTGTTTTGTTTTGTTTTCTTGAAACAGGGTTTCTCTGTGTAGCCCTGGCTGTCTTGGAACTCACTTTGTAGACCAGGCTGGCTCGAACTCAGAGATCCACCTGCCTTTGCCTCCCTAGTGCTGGGATTAAAGGTGTGAACCACTGCCTGGCTCCTTTATTTTTTTATGTCAATGATTTCTTTAGTTTTCTTGACTTTCATTTGCTGTCATAGCAAGATATGACAGTGAATGGTACTAGGTTGATTAAAGATCATAAGTCAGTTCTTCTCATAGTTCTCAGAAGTTGGCCATCAGGGAGCTGGCAGGCCTATTTCCTCTATGTTTCACTTTTGACTTAAAGGCAGCTGCCTTCCCCATGTGCCTTACCCTGGCCTCTCCTCTCTTTACGTGGATCCTGGGGTCTCCTGTCTTCTGATTTCATTTAACTTTAGTTATCTTCCTAAGAGCTGTGTATCCAAAGATTGTCACACTGAGATATTATGTTTGAAGAATATAATATAATTCATAATTTTGTTAGATTAAATCTATTTGAAGTGTTTCCTTATTGAATAGCTCTTTAACATTATCTATCTATCTATCATCTATCTATCTATCTATCTATCTATCTATCTATCTATCTATCCGGTAGGGGCACATGGACCATGCTCACAGAGGACAACCTACACGAGTTAGTTCTTTCCTATACTGTATGGGTTCTGGGGCTTGAACCTAAGTTATTAGGCTTAGCAGAAAGCACCTGTATTCATTCACCAGCCATAGTTATTTTTGCTTGCTTTTTTTGAGATAGGGTTTCTCTGTGTAGCCTTGGCTTCCTGGAACTTGCTCTGTAGACCAGACTGGCCTTGAACTCACAGAGATCTGCCTGGCTCTGCCACTCAAGCTCTGGAATTGAATGTGTGTGTGCTACCACCACCTGGACAGTCACAGTTCTTAACCTGTCATTTAAAAATGTTTTATTTATATTTTTCTTATAGCTGCAACTTTTAAGTTAAGTCATACTTATGGTAGTAATTATGTTACTAATTTTTGATGAATACTAAAATTAAATTTTACAACTGTGCTTTAGGTATAGAAATTAAACGAATGTTCTTTATATGTGAAATATATGAATGTAGACATGGAAATTATATAAGCACAATCTCCTGAAAAGAGCTAACAGTCTTTGTTAATATTGTTTATGGAAGATGTTCTTTACTTCACTACTGCTATAGTTAAGTAAATTTTTCCTACAGGCTCATGGGTTTGAATTCATTGTCTTGGTAGCTTGTTGACATTCAGGAAGCAGAAACCAGATGCACAGGTTGTAACCTGATTTTCATGACAGTCTCGGGTCCCTGTGCTTCCTGACTTGGTGAGATGATATAACCAGTTGCCTTGTACTCCTGTTTTCCAAGTGTGAGCCAATCCTGCCATAACATCATTCCTGACACAATAGACCGTACCCTACTAAACCATGAACAAAACAAATCCTTCCTCTCCTAAGTTGCTTCTATCAGTATTTGATCATGGTGATATGAAAATAACCAGTATAGAAAATCAGTACTGAAAAATGGAGTCACTGTTGCTGTAAACCTGACCATGTAGTTCATAAGCCCTTGGGAGAGGTTTTCAGTGGGAATGTGAAAGCATTTGGAGCTTCAGGCTAGAGAAGTGGCACCGTGCAATAAGCAGAGGCTAGTGGCCCGTTCTGGTAGAAGTTCAAAACTAAGCTGTTTTTAGAAACGTAGATGTGAAATCTTTGCATGAGGTTTCAAAGGGAAATGAGGACTATACTAGGGGCATTCCTGTTCTGACAATATGTCTGACTACATTCTGCCCTTGTGTTGAAAAGCTGATGCTGAATTAAAAATTAATGAACTTATTTTTTTGGCAAAGGAAATTTTGAAGCATTATAGCATTCAAGTTGCGTTGTGATTATTTCTCACTGCTTTTGGCAGGTTTACAGGGGGTCGAGCAGAAAGTGGAGCAGAAAGTTGTGAAAAAATGTTCACATTGGTAAGGAGAAGTGTGAACCTGGTTGGAGTTGTAGATAAATTAGGACCATGAGAAACACTTCAGTCTTTACTTCACTTGCCACATAAGAGTGAAGACCCCAGTTTGGACGCCCAACACCCACACAAAAACCAGACATGGTGGTATGCATCTGTAACCCCAGCTCTGGGGGTGGGGGTGGGAAGGTGGAGCCGTGGGCTAGCTACTCTAACAAGTCAGTGATCTCAGAAATAGATAGTGACCGAGAAAGACACCCAGTGTCAACTTGTGTCCTGTACACATGTGTGCATACGTGTGTACCTGGAAGTCCATATGGGCACAGGGACGTAGCACAAATAATAAAACCTTGAGGCAGATACTCATTCACGCTGAAGATCAGAGAAGCAAAGCAGCCACCAGAGAGCTCTCACCTCTACCACTGCTCAGGCTGAAGTGGCGATTCACTGAACCCCAGATTGCATCTCCAGATTGCACTGCTCTCCACCAGGCCTCAGAATGCTAAACTACAGTGCTCTGTCTTCAGTGTGACTGGAGACTAGTTGCCACATGAGACCCTTTGCTTCCTCCTTATTAAAGGCATGAGCTCTGTTCCTCTTTTTAGGCTGGTTCACTCTAGTGTGGCCCTGAGTGGCCTTGAACTCAGAGAGATTCATCTGCCTCTGTCTCCTGAGTCTTGTAATTAAAGGTGTGCCACCACTGTTCAGCTTCCATAGCTAACTTGTGTGGCTGGCTTTGCATTCTGATATTTCAGACAGTCTTTATTAAATCATAAACAATATATCAATGTACAGGAACATATACATCACCATTAATACACAAAGAAGTTAATGCCATTAAAGAGTAACTGTACAGTTAAAGCAAAAGCAAATGTGCCTTGAGGGTTCACAAGGCTGTAAAGCAGGAAACCCCAGATTAAAAAAAAAGCAATAAAACCATTCTTTTGAAAGGGAAGGGACTGAAGAAATAGTGACTCTACTGTAAAAATGGCCACTTAGAAAAGATTCTGCCCTGGCCACATATGGAAGCTACTGCAGAAGGCAGAACTGTGGGAACAGAGTCCCCCCAAGACCATTAAAGGACAGAGATGTGATCACTAGCCCCAGATGTTAGGCAAGGAGCATCTGGGTTTGATGTTTTCTCTTCTGGGTTTCCATTTGTTTTTGTCCAATAATTCTTTCCTATACCCCATCTACCCTGTGAAATTGGAATATTTATTCTACCACTATACATCGGAAGTGTATAACTTTGTTTTTGGTACTGCAGGGGCTCTCAGTTATGACTGCTCTTAGTCTCAGAACTTTTGAATAATATTGCTACTGTAAGACTTTGAAGTCGAATAGATGTACTTTTCAGTGTAGAAGCCATTAACCTATGAGGGGGAGGATATGAACACTATATGGATATTGAGAAGCCTCACAGTGGCTCAGATTTTTGAACTCTTAGTCCCTGTTGGAGACAATATTTCTGGAGATTATGGGACCATTAGGAGGGGAGCTTCATTGGAAAGTGACTACATAGGTTACACCTCAGCCTAGATTCCAGACCTAGTTTTCTCTACTTCTTCACTGCCAAGGCAATGTAGCCAGGGCCTCACATGCCTGTTGATGCCACTATGAGTCATTCTTACTGCCATGCTTTCCTGTCATAATGGACTGTACTGTCCGTGAACAGCTATAAATCTTTCTTCTTATTAGTGACTTCTTTCAGATTTTTTTATTATGGTCATGATAAAATTAGTCAACAGCCATTATTTTCAAAAATTAATTAATCATGTTTATACTATTCTTGTTAGCTAATAGGATATATATTCAATGCTTATATATCCTTAAAAATAATATCCCTAGAAAGCTGTTTTCGTTGTATTCTGTGAAAGATGAAAGGGTTGAGCTCCATTTCTTACTTCTCTGCCGCCGTATTTTAGCCACACTTTAGGTGTTGCTCTTAGCTGTATGAAGTGCACTAAGATTTCACGGTGCAGTGGAGAAACACTTCTGTCACGATTATATCATTCTTGATTGTAGAATACTTAGCCTGCCAAGCAGTGTTTATCCCTTACGGGGGAGCATGAAAGTATTGTGACCATGGCTGTGACATAATAGCTGGTGCTTCTGAATGATGTACCTGTTTGAGGTGGTGGAGGTCCAATGAACTAAAGACAGTGTGAGCAGTCATAAGCTTTTATATAAGTAATGAAGGTAACTATATCTTATCTTGGCA